ACTCTATTTACTATAGAAAAAAAAAAAAATCTATATAGTTACTAATATTAAAGATTTAAAATTTAAATATAATAATAGAATTATTAACTCTAAGATTAATTATTTTATAATTAAAATCTAAGAAAAGAAATTTAATATTATATATAACTTAATACTATTAGAAATCTATAAAGTTATATTAGAACTATTATAGCTATAAGATATAAATCTATTAATAGATTAATTTACTAGCTATATAGAGTAAAGAAATATTCTTATAAATCTATATTAGAATTAATAGAAATTAAAATTTTATTAGATATTAGAAGAATAGAATAACTCTTTAATAATTATAAGTACTACTATAAAAAATTAAAAAAAATAACTTATAATAATAAGTAGATATAGTAATTATAATTTTAATAGTATTATAATCTAGTATAATAAAGAACTTATTCTAATAAGAACTAAGATAAATAATATAAATCTTAGAATAGATATAGAAATAAGAGTAGCTCTTAGATATATATCTAGTACTAATTAATTAAAAATAATTAATAATAGAATAATAATAAGAATATAAAATTAAATATAATTAATAATAAAAGAAAAATAAAAAACTATTTCTAGAATTATTTAATATTAGAATCTAAGAATAAAGCTAAATAAATAATTAATAAAAAGTTTAATAGAATAAAGAAAAAGATATTTAGTATAAGTATTAATAAAAAAAATATTTAAAATAAAAAGAATATCTTAAAAATATTTTATAGAAATATAAATATTTTAAAAGAATATTATTTATAGAAAAACTTAAAATAGAACTATTAGAATATAGTTAATAAGATTATAAAATCTCTATTATTAAAAAAGAAAAACTAGTTTTTTATAAACTATATAATCTTATAAAACTTTAGTTATAAATACTTTATAAATATATTAATAATATATTAATAAAAAACTATATATAATTATTAACTTTATTATAGAATACTCTATAATATTTATATTAAAGAAAAATAATAAACTCTATTTAGTTATTAATTATTATTAACTAAATAAAATTATATATAAAGATAGAATACTCTTATTACTAATTATAGAATTTAAAAACTAATTATAGAGTAAATAGTAATTTACTATATTAGATTTAAAAAGAGCTTATAATCTAATATAAATTAAGAAAGAAGATAAATAGAAAATAATATTTAAAATAAAATTTAATCTCTATAAATATTTTATTATATTTTTTAAACTAATAAATATATTTATAATATTCTAATAAATAATTAATTAAATATTATAAAAGTATTTTAATATTTTTATAATTATTTATTTTAATAATATTTTAATTTTTTCTAATAATTTAAAAATATATAAGAAATATATATACTAAGTTTTAAAAAAACTAAAAAAAGTAAAACTTTTTATAGAACTAAAGAAAAGTTTTTTCTATATATAAGAAATTAATTTCTTAGAATATACTATTTAATTAAATAAAATATAAATAGAATAAGATAAAATTATTATAATTAGAGATTAGAAAATATTAAAAACTATTAAGAAAATATAAGCTTTTCTTAGGTTTACTAATTATTATTAATAATTTATTAAAAACTATAGAAAAATTACTATATCTCTATATAATATTACTAAAAGAGAAATAGAATTCTAATAGAATAATAAATAGTAAAAAGTATTTTATAAAATTAAGAACTAAATACTTTTAGAACTTATACTATAAATATTTAATTCTATAAGAAAAATAAAACTTAAAATAAATATATTAAACTTTATAATTAGTATATAAGTTAGCTAAAAAGATAATAAAAAAAGATTATACTCTATAGTATTCTATTTAAAGAAACTATATAATATAGAATTTATAATAAAGAATTTATAACTATTATATATATATTTAAAGAATTTAAATATTATTACTTAAGAATATTATATAAGATTAAGATATATATAGATTATAAAAATATTTAATATTTTATAATAATCTAATAACTAAATAAAAGATAAATATATTATACTAAATATTTATTTTAATTTAACTATAAGATTATATACTAGAAAGAGTTAGAAAATAAAAAAGCTAATACTTTTAGCTATAAATCTAAATATAAAGAAATAGTTCTAAGAATAAATAGATAGTTATTTTTAATAAATAATAAAGAATATTTAGTATAGAAAACCTTAAGTACTATATTAAAGGAGATAGTATATATTAAAGTCTAGATAGATATTATTCTAAGCTTAAGAAAACTATAATAGAAAATAAAAATAATATTTATTAAAGAAATCTATAAATATCTATTTTTAGAATATTAAAAAGTTAAGAAAATATTTAATAGAATAAAATAATATTATAATTATTCTAGTCTATAAAAGAAAATATAAATTATAGTTTTAAAATATAATATTTATATATAAATTAAAACTATATAATATAAACTATATAGAGAACTTAAACTAGTTTTAATATTAGAATAACTATAGTAATTAGTATTCTTTAATTAGACTATATAATTATATTAGTATATTAATTATAGAAATATATTAATCTATAGCTAATTATCTAGATTATTTATAGCTAATTATCTGGAATATTTATAGCTAATTATTTCTAAATATTTTATAGCTTTAGGAAAGATTATAAGAAATTATATAAGTATATAAGATATATTAGAGAATTATTAATACTTAATAATAATTTATTATTCTGAATTATTAGAATTATTATAAGATTCTAATAATTCTCTAGTAATTAGTTAAAAAAGATAGAGATATACTATATAACTCTAATATATAATAATATAATTTATAATAAATCTTTACTTATATTTATATCTATTTATTCTCTTAAGATTTTATTTTCTATTAACTTAGTTTCTAAGTTTTCTAAATATAATAAAGTTAGTTTATTTACTAGTATAATTTCTAATTTTTAAACTTTTAAAATAATATATTTTATAAAGTTCTAAATAACTCTAATTATATATTAATTAATTAAGTTCTAATAGATTAAAGTTTTAATATTCTATTCTTTTAATAGCTAAAAAAATAGATATTTAAAGTTAATTTATTTAATAAATATTTTAACTAATTAGATTATAGCTATTATTTATAATAATCTACTTTATAATATAAAGTTTAGATTATTTTTAAGAAAGTTAGTAACTTAATATATATATTTAATATTTAATATACTAAGATAATTATTTCTTAAACTAATTCTAATTAGTATCTAGCTAGATATTTCTTTTATTACTCTCTCTTAAGCTATTAAATTAAGTATTTAAAATCTTATAATAATAGAGAATTACTATTATTTATTATACTTAGAACTAGCTATAACTAGCTTAAGTATTATAAATAGGTTTTTAGTTATTAGCTATAGAGTAGTTATAGTTAGATAGCTTATAGTTAAAATCTAGATTTATAATATCTTTATTTATATATAAAATAATATAATTCTTAAGGCTTAAGTTCTTTTTATCTACTAGCTATTTATAGCTCTTTTATAGAGAGCTCTATATAGTCTCTATTTATAGTATAATATTAATTTAAAATATAATTATAATAAATAATAAATAATAGCTTATATTTTATTTTTATATAAAAAAATATATTATATTTTAAAATTAAAAATTAATTTAATTTATAAAATATAAAAATCTTTAATAATTACTAAATAAATAAAAAATAATAAATAAAATTATTAAGTTTATAAAATAAATTAAAATCTTAAAATAATTTAAAATTAATTTATAATTAAATAAAACTAAATATTAAAAAAAATTAAAAAAAAAATCTATATATAAAATATATAATTTATTCTATAAGAGTTTAAAAGTATATATATATTAATACTTATAATTATAATCTATAATAATTAATAATTAATTATAAATAAAAATTTAAAAAAAGAAATAAGAAATCTAAAAATAGCTAGCTAAATATTAAATAAAATTTAATAAGATAAGATATAATAGATAAATATTTAAAGTACTTTAGCTATTAGCTAAACCCTACTTACTAGATATAGCTACTAGGGAATAGTAGCTAAAACTAAGTAGAAATAGAACCTAAATCTAATTCTAAACTAGTCTAAGCTAAGGAATAAGTATTAAAACTACTATATTATATAATATAATATACTTAGTTAGAATAAGATTAATTTACTATAAATATATCTCTTTTCTTAGATTAATAGAATATTAGATCTAAAAAGAAATATATAATAATTTATATAATTAAACTCTCTGGAAGTACTAGAGTTATATAATTTAGATAAATATAACCTATATAATTTTACTATTCTAATATATAAACTCCAATAGTAAGTAACTATATAAGTACCTTGGGCTTAACCCGCAAATCAGCTTCGTAATAATGCCAAATTAGGCAAGTTCAGAGTAAAAGTAGATTAGTTTATGGTATGCCATGGTCCTGGAATATGTATTAGCCCCGGGTTACTGATAGACATGAAGAGATAGAGTTTATAACGCCCGGGAGACAAATCCGGGTACGGATACTTATTGTAAAGGTTGTACCAAGTCCCCGCTCTTTCGGGATTAGAACTGGTTAGTGTGAGATCATACACTGGTAGTGTGGAACTTGCGGACCGGACCCATGCTCCAAGAATGGTTTGGCACTTTATCCCATGCTAAGTCAAATAGAGAGCTATGAACTGCCTCTTCGAGCGTTATCCCGAGGTTCGGCTGGGATCAACCTTGCTTTGTATCCCGGGTTGCGGATCCAATGTCCAAGTGAAACCCATCAACGCCGTTGTTTATGCTATCTCTACTAGGTTAAGCTATTTCTTTGACTTTGTGCCAATAACAGCACGGTCTGAATCATAAGGACAGCCAGATATACCTCGAGCTTTGCCATGTGTGGTCTCGCTATCCTTTTTATAAAAGGGCTCTTGCGGTAGGGTCAATGGTTCATAAAGCTGTGTTTACTTATTCATTGTGAATCTACCATTTTACACTGCTAAGGATATCCTCAACATGCCGTCAACCTTGGTTGTCACCCTAGGAGCTGTCCTCGGGACTTGTGCGACCTTTGTGGGTGCTCACGTTCCCGAACCGGCCGTTTCACTTCCCCAAGTTCCTACAGCCAGGACACAGAACGGTACTTACTATGGCGCACGTAACAGTCGCTATTACATTGACCAATTCCTTGGCATCCCTTTTGCCCAGCCCCCAACGGGTGACCTACGATTACAGCATCCCCAGTCACTAAACACTTCCTGGGATGGTGAGAGAAATGCAACCGAGTATGGATATGCCTGTGTGGGCTACGGAGAGGACTCGACAGTGACCTCTCGCAACTATACTAATGAGGATTGCTTAACTCTTAACGTCGTTCGCCCAGCTGGTTATGACGAGACAGCTTCCCTTCCCGTCGCTGTTTGGATTTACGGGTAAGCGCAACCAACCCTCGAGGTTGATACATGTGATTCAAATGCTGACCAATCGTCCCTATTTCTCAGTGGAGGTTTCTTTGCTGGCTCCACGATCGATCAGCGATACAATCTCACCTTTATGGTTGACGAGTCTAGAAGGATGGGCAAGCCCATCATCGGTGTTAGCCTTAACTACCGACTTGCTGCCTATGGTTGGCTTTACTCGGAGGAGATAGTCAAAGCGGGCTTGGCAAATTTGGGACTGAGAGATCTACGGTAAGAAGCACACGTCCCATCCTTAACATATCAAGAAGCTAAGGGTAGCAAATCAGTATGGGATTGCACTGGGTCCAGGAGAATATCGGAGGCTTTGGAGGCGACCCTTCCAAGGTTACGATCTTCGGCGAAAGCGCGTAAGACACCCCTCATCGCATTGTCATCCCTCAGCGTTTTCCAAGTCTAGCAGCCGAACTAACTTATGTTACTTAACTCAGGGGAGGGCTGGCTGTTGGCGCACTTCTTTTGCCATATAACGGTCGGGATGACGGCCTGTTTAGAGCCGCAATCTGTGAATCCGGTTCCCCTCTTGGTCTTGGCATTGCCCTTACCAGGAAAGGTTTGTGCTTTTTCCCACAAGTTGGACAATAAGCGCGAGGTTCCTAACAAGATAACAGACGACAGTGAAGATCTCTACCAGAACTTCACAGCACGAGCTGGCTGCCATGACGCGCAAGACAGGTTAGCCTGCCTGCGTTCCCTACCAGCCGAGAAGTTCAGGTACCTCGCAAGCGGAGAGAATACAGACTGGGTAGCCAAAGACGCCTATAGCAAATCATTCGGCCTGCTCTATGGACCACAGGCCGATGGCGATATCCTTCTCCGTGAACCTTTCGAACAATTCCAGGATGGACAATTTGTCAAGGTACCATTTATGGCGGGCGACACTTCGGACGAAGGTACCGCTATCACAACACAGGGATATAACACCGAGCAACAAGTCATAAATCTTCTTTCTACTATGAGGCTGAGCAACGAAACTATACAGGAGATCCTGAACGTCTATCCGTACGATAACGATGAAGAGTTGGCTATACAAAACCACCCCGGCCTATTCAACGACACAATCGGTATTCGATACAAGCAAGTCGCAACTATTCTCGGGGATCTTACCTTCATCGTTCCAAGAAAGATTGGCGTCGAAGCCATGGCCCGGCACAGCGACCAGCCAATCTACGCATACCGTTGGGACACAATGATTTCAGGCATGCCTGAACATTATGGTGTTGTTCATTTCTCCGAAGTTCCATTTGTCTTCCATAGCGTTGCTGGCACAGGGTGGGTGGGTATCGATACAGAAGAAGATTCGCCCTATCTCGGTCAAAACCCTTTCGAAGGGATGGGAGAGGCTTATTTAGATTTGGCTGATTTGGCGAGTCGGTCGTGGGTGGCATTTATCCATGACTTGGATCCCAACAGTTATACACGTAAGTGGTGCCCTGGCTCATCATTTGGGTTCTATACTAATTCCTCGCTTTGAAGACTCCGGTGCAGTCTGGCCACAGTACACCCTGACCAACAAAACACAGATGGTGTTTAACGCATACAACGGTACTCATGCTGAAGATCTCTTTGAAAAGCGGTCAACTGCTACCCACTATATGATGGATAAGTTTTATCCAAGCATCTATGCAGACAAGGCTAGGTACGGATGGTGATGCAAGCTGGAATGAACTGGGGGGTCTTTGCAGGTGGGCCAGAATCTCAACATCCTGTGAGGAGGTGTGTCGCAGTAGGGAGGTTCTTAGGGAGACAATCTCAAGGGCGGTGATGAAACGGCATCGCAATGAGAAGACAAAGAAGGAACTATGAGGTGGGGTTATGTACATAGCGCCGCTGGAGTAGTTATACAACACCCTGAATGCCGCCAGCAAGTTTATACTTTATTAGGGGAAAAACAACACATAACACACAGACCACCCACAGCCAATTAGAGGCCGCGAGGGCTGCTTAATAAGCAGCTGAAAAAAGAACCTAAATTAGAAAGTGAGGGTTGCTAGCTAAGAGCTGCGGCAGAAGACACCTCTTTTGATCATATGGTCATGTAACTAGGCACGTGACTCAGTCGGTGGCACACCTGAGCCCCAACTCAATACTAAATAGATATTAAATTAATATTAAATCTATATTATTTCTAATAAAAATTTCCTATAGTAGTAAATATATATTATACTTATAAAGATAAATTAACTTATAATTTTAAAAATAATTAACTTTTTTATTTTTAAATATATATAATTCTAAATTAAATTAAAATAAACTTTTATTATACTTAGAACTAGCTATAACCAGCTTAGATATTATAAATAGATTCTTAGTTATTAACTATAGGGTAGCTATAGTTAGATAGCTTATAGTTAAAGCCTAAGTTTATAATATCTTTACTTATATATAAGATAATATAATTCTTAAAGTTTATCTTATTTCTATTTACTAGCTATTTATAACTCTTTTATAGAAGGCTCTATATAGCTCCTGTTTATAGTATAATAAGTACCCTGGATAAAGGAAAAAATACTATTACCCTTAGTAGCTTAACTATATTTAGTCTATTTTAATAAATAAAAGAAAATCCTAGTAAAAGATTAATTAATTATTATTTAATTAGTATATATTATTCTATAAAAAAAGTTCTATTACTCTAATTTCTCTTTATTAATTATATATCTATATTTACCCTTTCCTTAGTTATCTTTATACTTAATCTATTTTATACTTTTTTCTTTATTATAATAAATACTACTCTTTTCTAGTTCTTTTTTTTTTAATATCTTTAAATTATATTACTTAGCCTATTAGTTTATAGATCTCTTTAGATTATTCTCTAGTTTATATTTAGAAGGGATTTTTAGATTTATAGCTAATTTCCCTAGAGTTATTTTAGTAGATATCTTCTTTAATAATATTTTAATAGCTTACTTTAATTTACTATATATAACTAGGGCTTTAGATAAAATCTTATTAGCTCTATCTAACTCTAATTCTTATTTCTTATTAATTACTTATAATACTTTATACTTAGATAAAGTTTTATTTACTTTATAATTAGCTTTTTTAAGAATATTAAGCCTGAGCTATAAAGTAATAATACTTATCTCTAGAATAGTATTTTTCTTCTTTAAAACTATATTAGATTCTTCTAAGTTATTAATATAGCTTATATTCCCTTTAAGCTCTTTAAATATCTTATTATTATATTAATTAACTATTTTATAGTTAGAATACTTTACTTTATATCTAAGATCTTTATTAATCTATCTGAAATATATTTTCTATATATAGATAGTTCTTATCTTAGCTTTAGATATATTACTAATAATTATAAGATCTATATAATCTAAAAATACTAGTTTAGTTATAATTTACCTATTAAAAGTATAGAGATTAATATAGTAAAGGATTAAAATATTAATTTTAGCTAGTAATTAGTTATTAGAATTTTTAGTATTATATTTATTAGTAGTATATTTAACCCTATTCTAAATATATATTTTAACTATAGTATTAACTTATTATTTAATATAATAAATCTATATACTTTTACTTATATAATCCTTATAATCTATAGCTATCTTTAACTCTTTTATTTTAATAATCTTCTTTTAGATTTCTTTAATCTTATTCTTAATTTTATAGAACTTTTCTATAAGAGAATAATTTAAGTTTTTAGAATTTAATATATTTTAAAAGCTAGTTATAATATAATTAAAAGCTAAGATATTAAGTAATTTATTACTATCTTTTATTTAGTAATAGTTAAAATATATCTTTTAGTAGAGTATATTATTATTATCTTAATAGATTATAATCTAGCTTATATAGTAATTATAGTTTTTTACTATTAATAGATATATATTACTAGTACTCTCCTTATTAATTCCTATTATAAGCTATTTATTCTTATTAGAAGAGAAATAAGTTATTTCTTTATTAGATATAATTTTAATTATCTTTATTTTTAATATAATAGTCTTTTTCTATACTATTATTAGGATATTCTTATTATTACTATTCTTCTCTATAGAGATCTTAGTTTCTTTAGAGTTATAAAAAAAATCTTTTTAGCTCTTATTAGGAGCTACTATTTATATCTTTTTATTCTTTAAAGATATTATAACTAAGATTAATAATTTTTTATTAGCTTTTTTAGCTAGAGTTTTAACTAGAGTTTTAGAGATCTCTTTTTTACTTTTATAAGATACTAATCTTATATTTTTAGAAGATATAATAGATATTCTCTTTTAATAGATAATTAGTTCTAATATAGATAATTATTAAAGTATAATAAATAACTCTTCTAACTATTTTATAATTTTATAAGTCTCTATATAAAAGTCTTATTAAGACTTATTTTTAGCTAGTTTCTTAAAGTTATCTTTAACTATCTTTAGAAGAGCTCTATAATTATATTTAGCTAGGTTTTTTAAAGCTATACTATTAAGTTTCTTATCTTTCTTACTAAGCTTCTTATTAATTAGATACTTATTAAATATAGCTCTAATTTATTTCTAAATCTAACTAATCTGAAATTTACTAATATAACTAAACTTAAGGATACTAAAACTAAGAAAGTAAATTAGATATTCTATATATAGGAATTTTATTTACTTTCTAATAAATAATTATAGCTTTTAAGAGTTTTTACTTAAAGAGATTCTAATCTTAATATAGCTAATTTTAAATATTAAAAATTAGCTAAAAAAGATAAAAATAATAAATATATATTTTATATAAAGAGAAGTTATTAAGTCTAAGCAGACTATAGTATATTTAATATATTAGCTTTATTATTATCTATTAGTTACTAATAGCTATTATCTTATAGATAAGCTCTTTATATTATTTAGTAGTATACTTTACTTATAAATAGACTAGATACTATACTAATATACTAACTCTATCTCTTTACTAAAGAAGATCTTAGATTTACTTATCTTATATTTCTAAAGCAGCTCTTAAATATCTTTAGCTAGATCTTTCTTTTTAATTTAAGAGTTATCTTTACTTTTCTAATCTTTCTAATAAACTAGATATTTAACTTATATATAATAATCTCTTATTCTTCTATAATTAAGTATCTATTTAACTTTATATATATTATCTATTCTCTTATCTAATTTAATTAAGCTAGATTCTTATAGCTTTTTTCTATAAGGATTCTTTTCTTAAGCTAGCTTTTATAACTATATAATTAATACTATAGAATATACTTTATAGTACTTTAGTAGATTTAATTTAATTATCTATAAATAAACTACTTCTAGAACTTTCTATAAACTAGATCTAATTAGAAATTACTTTTTCTTTAGGTTTCTAAATAACTAATAGTTATTATAAAGATATAAATAAATAATATTATC